GCGCAAGGACCTGAGTTCAGGTCTCCAGAACCCATTGAAAAAGCCAGGGCACAGTAGTGTGTGCCCATAACCTCTGTGATGGCAAAATGAGGCAGGAGAAGAGAGACAGGTGGATCCGTGGAAGGCTGCAGGAAGGCTGCAGGCCAGGCTGGTGGCAGAGTCAGTAAGAGACCTGTCTTAATAAAGGATGGAAGGCATGGCCACTCTAACCTTAAATGCATGATGCATGTATGTATTCCCTCCCCCTTTCACAGGCACTTGGAGGATTTTCTCACATGGCAGATGATCTTGCCTCTTACTTCCAGGCTAGAAACCATAAGTAATGGCTGGAACTTTAGATGCCATCTTAGATCATGAGGTAAGGGTTAGGTAGGGCAGAAAAATGGATCTGTGATGCATGGTGTTATGGAATCATCATACAAGCCCTTCCCAGCCTACCTCTAAACGTCTCTGATATTAGAAACGGATCTCAGTTTGCTTATGTTAGTGTTAGGTGAACTTCCAGCTACTGCTGTCACTGACCCCAGCAGATCAGATACAGTTTATCAGCGCAAGCAGTTGAAACTGTCTGAGCCAGGCATGGTGCCACAGGCTGGTATTCTCAGTTCCTGCAGAGGTAAGGCAGAAGAATTGCAAGTGTGAGGCCTGCCTGGGACATAGAGTGAGTTCAAGGCAGCTTGGCTTCCTGAGTCCCTATCTTGTTTGGTTGGTTTGGTTTGGAGACAGGTTTTCTCTTTGTAGCCCCGGCTGTCCTGAAACTTGCTCTGTAGATAGACCAGGCTGGCCTCGAATTTACAGAGATCCGCCTGCCTCTGCCTCCCAAATGCTGGGATTAAAGGTGTGTGCCACCAATGCCCAGCCTGAGCCCTTGTGGCTCAGTGGTAGAGTACTTGCCTAAGATGACCTAGGTTCAATACCCAGTACTAAAGAAAAGGATTCAGGTTCAGTCCTCAACACTGATTAAAAGCACTTACGTTCAAGCCCCAACATTGAATAAAGAAAACGTGTCACCAGCTGTCAGCTTCCTGACTGTCCTTTGTAGGTCAGCAGTGGTACAGGAACCAGGGAACTGGGCTGGGTCAAGAGGCTGGAGTTCATGTAGCTCTGCTGTCCTGTGCGCATTGTCAGCCTAAGTCCCCTGGCCCGTGAAATGGGACAAGGGATAGAGGTGACCAGCACTGTGTCCCTGGTGCAGAGCTCCGTGCAGGGCTGCCTGAGACCCTGTCTCCAGGGAGACACAAAAGAGCTGCATTTACTTCCTGACAGAGGGCTGGCGAGGCAAAAAACAGGCCCAGGCATAAAAATATTACAGTGCCTGGTCCATAGGCCTCTGGTTAGAACAGATGCTGTGCAGCCCGAAGCCTGCTTGTATTTCCTTATTGTGGCCTGGGCTTGGATTTCAAATTGTGACATGATTGAAATCAGGTCAGTGTGGGCACAAAGACCTCCAAGTCAGCTTCCTTGTTCATGCGCTGTCCTAAAAACGGAAACTAGTGTGTGAATGTGTGTGTGTGTGTTAATACTAAAGATGGAATCCAGGGCCTTTCACATGCTGGCAAAACAGCCTACCACTGAGTTCTATTCCCAGGCAGGTTTTCACCTTTCATCTGGGGACAGGGTCTCAGTAAGTTACAGGGGCTAGCCTTGAATTTGCTGTAGCCCAGGCAGGCCTTGAACTTGTGATCCCCTTGCTCCAGGTTCCCTATTAGCTGCAGTTTTCCTGTTTGCTTAATGCAAAGAGGTGTGTGTATCCAGGGCAGAAAAGGCTACCATATAGGAGGTTCTGCAACGATTGGCTGGCTTTTCCCTACACCTCTTCCCTTCAGAGCCTCCTTCTGTTTTCCTAAAGTAAGCATGTTATTGAGTATCCTTTCCTACAGAAAAAAAGTGTTCCACTGGCTCTGCACCTATCACCAAGCCAGGGAGACAGAAGTGAGGATTGCCCCAGTAGCTAAACTAACACAAAGGTATGATGACGCAGAAGTATGGATGGGGAGCCATGGGGTGAGGGCAGGTCCTGGAGCTGGCAAAAATGATAACTGGTATTGTAAAAGTGCCTTGGAGTTGGGTGTGGTTGCACAGGCCCTTAATTCCAGTACTGGGAGGCAGAGACGAATGGATCTCTGTGACCTTGAGGCCAGCTTGGTCAACATAGTGAGTTTTAGGACAACCATGGGTATGCAGAAAGGACCTTGTCTCAAGCAAAAACAAACAAACAAATAAACAAGAAACCAGGAAGCATGGCTTGGAAGAGAGTCCCTCCCGCTCAGCATCAAAGGACGCACATAGTTGGCACAGGGCCAGCTTCCTGCTCTGGCTTGTGTTGTTTGAGTCCCAGCCTATCCAGAGCGAGCACACTGGTGCTTTTGTGAGTCTTTGATCCTTCTAGAAGGTTCTGGGGTAGAGTAGGAAGTCCCAGATGTGCTTCCATGGGAAGCACGGTTGGCCTCCTGAGTTTTCGGGGACTGGCTGTGGGGCTGCTGAGGGAGAATGCCCTGGCCCTGATGGTGCCTGGGGTGGCAACTTCTGCCTGCACAGCTGACTTGCTTATGGCTTCTTCCAGTCATTCAGCAGCTTGCTGCTCCCTTCCTGCCTTTGCTACGACTCTTGGTAGGACTCATGCAACTCCGGGAACTTGTTTGGTATTGCTTTCTTTGCACGAATATTGCCCGAGAGTCAGATCCTGTGAGACAGCCCCCCTGGGAAAGAGCCTCATCTCAATGTCAGGCAGGCAGTGCACGGGAGGGTGGAGGGACTTACATTTCCTGGCCCCTGGTCTACAGATGCACAGACGGAGCCAATGTGAAGATTGTTTGACATGGGTAGAGACCAAGCCAGGAGCCATTATGCTCTGGATGAACAGCTGGGTTGAAGTTACCCCACTATTGCAAGGGGGAGGTCATGTTGACATGTTTTAGGCATTATAAAAGCTCTCAGAGAGGACAGTGTCCTCAGAGGGCAGCTCTCCAGGCCCATCCATGGCAGACAGGGACAGAAGACTTATCAATGCTGATACTTGCAAGTGACCTGAGGGGTGGGCCCCAGAAGGACCTGATAAGAGTTTTCTTTTGTCACGTCTCACTTGAGTGTTCTTAAAACTGTCGTATTGCTGGTCATGGTAGTGCACGCCTATAATCCCAGCATTCAAGAGGTTGAAGGCAGAGGATGAGGAGAGGCTCATCGGGTAAAGTGCTTGCTGTGAACATAGATGACCTGAATTTAGGTCACTTAAAACCCACACAAGGCCAGGTGGAGACAAGAGAATTCCCATAAGCTCAGGGACCAGCTAGCCTGGCGTGGACAGCAGCCAACAACAAAGAGACTCTCTCTCAAAAAAAGGTGGGATTGGAGGACCCAAGGTTGTCCTCTGACCACCACTCATGCTTATTGTGTGTGCACAAACTCTCTCTCTCTCTCTCTCTCACACACACACACACACACACACACACACAGAGAGAGAGAGAGAGGGAGGGAGAGAGAGAGAGAGAGAGAGAGAGAGAGAGAGAGAGAGAGAGAGAGAGAGAGAGAGAGAGAACATGTAATTCAAAGAGAAGCATGGAGAAATCAGGTACAGACAGGAATGGAGGCACCAGGCCTTTGCTTGGAGAGAACACGGAACCAGACCCTTCACTCCCTTGCTGGCCATTTTATTTTTCTCCCTTCCTGCCAGATACAGCTCTTTAAAAGTCTTTTCTTCCCTGCCCTTTCGGTCCATAGGAAACTGTAGCCAGGTTCTACAGGTGAGACTTATCAAGCCCCAGAGAGCTGTGGGAGAGGGGAAAGCCAGGGTAGATAACCTCAGGAGTAGAAGGGGGTGTAAACTACTCACCATGCCGCCTGTAGCCACTCCTGCTGGGCGGTTCTCTGCCTTCCCAGGGAGACATGGAGCCTGGGGCTTCTGTCGCTCAGTGGCCTTGTTCCATTCATATAGCCTCTCAGGGGTCCCAGACACAGCAAGTGGCCTGTTCTCTGAAGCCTGCACTGTAAGTGTGGTTCCTAGCCCAGCTGTAGCACAAGGCCCTAGGAGATTGCCCAACACCAGACTCCAGCTGCATCCACTGAGTACTTCTGTGCCAACAAGACCCCAGGAGATTCCTCTGTGAGACTCAACACAGGCAGTCCCTGGCTGTTACTTCCCTCCCAAAAGCTGTCTTCTTACATCGCTGGGCCAAGAATATGAGATTCAGTGGCTCCCCCTTGTAAATGGCAGCCCTCTGCCTAGTAAAACCAGAAGTTTCTTGGGAGAGAATGTTTGCCTTGTTGGACAAACGCTCAAGTTCTTCAAGAAGCAGGCGCATATACAGTTGTCTGGCGGTCTGTGGAATTCCACATTCCCATCTCAAATCTGGGGATACTCAAGTGTCTGGTATAAAACTTGTGATTCTTAAGACATCCTGCTTTATGCTTTAAATGACATACTGTACCTGATGCAGTTAAGCGGGGTCAGTAGGCATCGTACTATATTGTTTAAGGAACAAAGATAAGACAATATGTGTCCAGTACAGATGTACTTTCTCCTCATATTTTTGTTGCAAACGTGGTTGGGTTCTCAGATACAGAGGCCCACTGTTCTCAAAAGGCAAAGCAAAATGCAGCTTTTGTTTGGCTACAGAGGTGCCCCAAAGATCCGCAGGCTGTAAAGCTCTCTGCTATCTATGCCACCAAGAACTCAGGTGCCAGACTACTCAGGGACAGAGGTTTGGGAGGTTTTGGAATGTCAGAAAGGTTGAGGATGCAAGTGTTCTAGAAAGTTCCTATGTGGGCAGCACTTGTACCTCCCTACCTCTCCTCCGCCAGCGCTGCCAGAAACACGAGCTTGTTGGTCTCCCAAATCACTGGCGACCTCTTTGCCAGCCCTTCCCTAGCCCAAGCATTTTGGTGGTTACTGCTGACAAATGATGAAACAACACAATAGTCAGAGGTTTTTTTTTTTTTTTTTTTTTTTTTTTTTTTTAAACTTTTTTTCTTTTGGTTTGTTTTTAAAGAAACTGCATACATCATCAGAGAGAAACAATAATTTAAATACCATGCAGTTTCTGTATGTACAAAACCTAGGCCACAGAGATCCAGTTTAATTTATATTCTATGTACAGCATCTTCCTCATACAGCCGTCATCTGTTAAATTAGAACCCTGGAGGGCACGGGGTCGAAGGTCACCACACTCACTCCTATACAAAGACGAACTATGTACAGACACCAGGAAGCAACTGAAGAAAGCAACCTGCTTGGGGAGGAAGAGACTTATGGGAGGAAGAAGTCATTGAAGGTGACCCCTGCCCACTGGCTGTGCACAGGGAGAGCCCAGGACCCCATTCATCGAAGCGACACACCACAATGCTCATTCCGAAAGGACAAACACATTGTTCATAAGCAGGAGAAAAAGAAATTCAGAACATCTCCTCACAAGGACCATTGTGTTGTTTGGTTTCTCTACCTGAAGGAAAGGCTCACATTCCACAAACCTGACAGGGCTCTCAGCGCATCTGGGGATGACGTGATCAGGATTTTGGAAAAGCCAGTTTGCCAATGGCAGGCTCTTCTCCCATGGAAGCGGAGCTGGGTAGGGGTCTTCAGCAATGCCCGGTTTTGATAAGAGACCAAGAGCTGACACATCTCCCATTTCCCGATTTCATGCTAACCTGAACCCCACGCTTCAAGATGAACTCACTTGAAAAAAATGGAGCTTTTCCAGAAAGGGATGGTTAAAGTCATCTAACTCGACTTATCCTACCCCCCTTCCCCTGCTAATCAATGTCAAATTGTCACCTTTAGAAATAATTCAAGTCACTTCAGTTGTCCTAACAAAGTGGGGGGAAAGGTGGTTACAGCTCCCTAAAGACCCAAGGCTTTCAGAAGGACAGGGGAAGTGCCACCCCACAGCTGGGGAGGCTGCTGAGCCTGGGTGGGAACCACTTATCACGGCCTTGAAATAGCTGATTCCCAAAGGGGGTGACCTCTTAGGAGCATGTGCAGCGCACCCCTCTGAGCAAGTGACTTCTGCAAAAGGGCACCCTACAGGAAGTGTGGGCATTGTGTCCCAACTTCTTCCATATAGAGAGAGGAGGGCAACTCCTGGGCATGCTGAAGGGGACGGTGACAGCTGCTGGTTGGCAGTAGGGAGATTGACAGTTTTGGGACTTCAGGTTCCCAGGCAATCAGAAGGGCCCCAGAACCAAGGCCAGCAGGGAAGCCAAGGAGTTCCTCAGGACCCCTCCTGGCTGGGGAAGGCCCATCTGTCAGGCCAGGACACCACGGCAGCCTGAAGCACAGCTGCTGTTTAGAGGAAGTGTAGCCCTCAGGCCCGGCCGGGCAGGGACCTCCACCCAGGACATCTCCCCCCACCCTAGGGAAGTTCAAGGAAAGAGTTCTGCATCTACCCTCCTACCACGCGCACATTCAAAAGACAGTAAGACTTTCCGGAAGACTGCGTTTACAGCCATGCTAAAATCCCTGCCACGGTTTCCCTGAATATCCCTCTGGACATTCAAAAGATAATAATGATAACAGAAAGATCCAGTGACGGCGGTGTCTTTGGGCTGGACAGCAGTGTGCTTGGTCCAGGAAAGCAGCAGTTGCGTGACGCTACCTGTAGGGCCGATCTAAGCTTTCCTTTTCCTCGGCCTGGTTCCTGGGTTAGCAACTGGCCATGGAGCCATTAATGCTCCAGAAAATTACATGGCCTCACTGATGTGTGCTGTGTCCTAAGAGTGACATGGTCCCAACTGGTTTGACAAGGGGGCATCTTTTGGGGGCTGGCCAGAATGTCTAGCTGATATCGTTTTAAATCCTGGGTGTGTTGGATGGGGAGTAAGCCATCACCGAGTGAAAGAAACCGTGGTGACTCTGAAAGCTGGGTGCACCACAGGGGTGGAGGCAAAGCTTCTCACCCAAGAGCCCGTGAGCTCCCACTGGCAAGGAAAACAGGGCTACAACAGACCTCTGTAGGGTCTGGGGAGACCTTCCCTCAGTGCACACCCAACGCCTGGAGGCCCTGTCAACAGGGCAGCTGGAGGCACAGCCTGAGAGAGAGAGACTCTGGGTAAGAGGAGCAGCAGACAGCCATGGCTGGCAAAGCCTTGCCCATTGCTAGCCCTGCTAGAATGTGGGTCTCTCTGCAGAAACTCTTCGGTGATCAGACAGGAGAGTGGGAGACCCTGGGGAGGCACCGGAACATTGATTCCCAGCTCTGGTCTCCATGTACGCGAAGTTATTAAAATTGCCAAACCAAATCATCACGGTCTCACAGGTGTCCCAAGGCCAATGAAACACGTGAGCTGAGTGGAGTTTCTGACCCCAGCCTCTCTCAGGTCAGCTCATACTCATGAATACCACAGGGAACCTTAGCAATGGCGTTTATGTATGGCTCACTCTTGGCCCTGGGCTTTCCAAACATAAGCTGGTCAATGAATGTGAACTGAACAGGCGGCCATTATCCCTCACTTTTTTGGAGGGCAGTTCAGTTTGGGCTGGGGGTCAAAGCAGATGCTCAGTTTGGGCTTCCTCTGCCCACAGCACACATGATTAGGATCTAAGTGCCAGCACAGGCTTCCCCAGGACAAGGCTGAAGAGAAAGTGTGTGTGTGTGGGGGGGGGGGCGGCGGCAACTGAGCGGTCTTCCCCTTTCCCAGAATCCTCCTCTTGAGGGCCCCCAAAGTGAATGTGCCATCTGGAGCCCGTGTGTCTGGCAGAGTCTAGGCCAGCTGGATTATGATTCTGGCCTAGCCACTCCCATGCCAAACCCACTGCCCTTGGCTTCTTTGGACTCAGGCAATAGTCCCCTGTGAGGAAGGGGTTCACTGAAGGCTGGACCAATGTGGTGCCTGCTGGCTGGCTGGGGGGGCATGAGGCAGTCTCTGGACAGTGGTCAGGTAGAACTCTGCTGGGGGCAGGGGCACCTTTCTGTAGCAGAAGTGGCCAGCAACTTTGACTGAGGAATGGTCACCGTGGTGTTCCTGCACACAGAATCCTGATTGCGTTTCCCTTTATTTCTTCTTCCTTTTTCCTTCCTTTCTTTTCTTTTTCTTCTTTTTTTGTAAAAAAAAAAAAAAGGCAGTTCAGATTTACATCTTAACGGGAAAGTGGACAAATGCCAGCACTTATGGTTCTCATAAATTTATGTTTTGAAGACAGCAGAGCACTCAAGGGTAATCCCACTGTTAGGGTCGATGAAACCTGGGAAACAAGAAATGTCATCAAGGTCTGGGGCTGTCAGAGGTCCCACCCCACAGCCGAATGCATCTTTTCATCCTCAGATACCCTGGTTGTGACAGTGATATTCCAGTATGATCTCCCACCCACAACACAAACACAAAGGGGACACCCCAAATATTTGAGCTACACAGATTCTACCTAGGGGCCAGAGAAAGTTCAATTTGGGTTCTTTGGAGGCCAAACCTGGGTGGCTGTACGAGGGTTCCTGTATGGCAGTAAGATGGAGGTCCTACCGGTGTGTCTGAGACAGGCAGTATGTACGTCCACAAGCTCCTGTTTTTCCGCATGTTCTCCAAAGGGGAGTGACTGGAAAAACTAAGCCAGTGGCTTAGGTACTAAGCCCACATAGTGAATTCTTTCTGTATCTCCTTTTCCCCAAGCAACACCAGATAGGACTAGCACACTCTTTAGTGGTCCCATGTGGCGCTTTGGTATTCTGCCCAGGTTTGGCCTCTGCTGACTGTATGTTGGCAACATTCTTATCTCCCCAGCTTCAGATTTTTTACTTTTTAAATTAAAACTCCATTGGCGTTATCCAACATGTGTCAGAGTTTTCATCTGAATGAATTAAGAAACAGAGAGTCGCTTTTTGCCTGGATCTAACATTTTAGATCCTTTGCTTGAGGTTTTGCTTTTCTAAGCATTTTTGTTGTTGGTTTTGTTTTGAGACAAAGTCTCACTCTGGAGCCCTGGCTGGCCTGCAGCTCCCTATGTAGACTAGGCTGGCCCTGAACTCAACAGAGAGCCATTTACATTTGCCTCCCTAGTGCTGGGACTAATGGTGTGTGCCACCACACAGGGCCTCGTTGCCCTCTTTTCTGTCAGCTTAAAGGTAGGACTTGTTGATCTCTGCCTTATCGTCTCCCATCTCACTCACAAAACCACTCGGTAATCTGGGGGCAAATGGGTATGTTTTGAAAGTAAATATTGACAGAGCTGAGCATGGTGGTACATATCTGCAAAGCCATCGTCCAGGAATCTGAGGCAGGAGAGGATCAATGTTAAGTTCCTGGCCAGTCTGGCTATGTAGTAAGAACCAAACCAGCTGGGTCTCATAAAAATAAAGTAACAGCAAAAAAATGGAAAACAAACATTGCCATGTAGTGGTGATGGTGGTGGGAGACATTCAAGGTGGACCCCATCAGTACCAACCGGGTCAAGTGTCTACTTAACTGATGGGTGGACCCCATCAGTACCAACTGGGTCAAGTGTCTACTTAACTGATGGGTGGACCCCATCAGTACCAACCTGGTCAAGTGTCTACTCAATTCATGGACTTCCATTTCAGTGCTTTTAAACTCATTGAGTTCCTTCCGGATGGCAGCCTGGAAGAGTAACATCGGGTCAGCAATGCTGAAGAAGTGGGAAGTCCCCCCCCCACCCCCATTTGTCACACTTACAATATTTTTGTTCTTCACACAACTACATAAAAAAGTCACCAGAGTACCCTTTAAAACCTCCCAGAGTTTCTGTCCTTTGTGGATAGCATGAAATTCTAACGGAGCTGGCTATATCCTATGAGGTCTCTGTAGCCCATGCTTCCCACGGGTTACAGATGGCACCCAGTGACTTTGGTGTCACCTCTCTTTTGCAGTTCTGCTGGGCACCTGGGAAGGTGTCTTGACACAGAGAGCCAGCGATAAGTCTGGGGCTCATGTTAAGAGTGGCTCTGGGCCTAGTCCAGTGTTATTCCATCTTTCTGGGCACAGTCCCCCAACATGCTATGGTGGAAACGGGAGGATCTTGTGTTGGAACTCTCCTTCTTAGAGCCACAGTACTGAGTGCTGGGGACCTTTCAGAGGCAATCTGGTTAAGAGGGACCAATGCCTTTATCAGGGATGGGATCAGTTAAACAGGAGGAGCAGGCTGTTACAAAGTAAGACTCCTTCCTACGTTTTCTCTCTGGCATGTGTCTCCCTCCCTGACTTACGTCCCATTATGGAGCAGCACGAGATGAGGGTCTCACCCAATGAGGCTGCCAGACCTTGTAATTACTGACTTCCAGAATCTTTAGCCTTTAAGTAACCTTTCTATATAAAGTTAGGAAGCGCCAGCAAATAGACCAAGATTTTGTCTCTCCTCCTGAGAAACAGACACAGTATCTTCTGTGCCCTTTGCAAGTGAAGAGCCAGTGGAGTGGCTTCCCACAGGTCACCGGGAGCGCTCTATGAGCAGCATTTTCAGCATGGGGCCAAGGCAGGGCTCCTCTTTCCTGACATATAAGGCCAGCCTCCCTTTCTTCACCACCTCTGCTTACTTTGTCAGCAGCTGTGAGGCGGGTCCATGGCTTGTCTGCTCTGCGGTCATAGTCCTGGGCATCTGCCACCTCCACGTAGTCACTGAACCGGATGAGGATTTTCCTCTCCCGAAGTTCTTCCACCGTGGGCCTTTGACTGAGCTGCAAGGAGGAGAGAGTGGGGCCCAGTCAATAGAGGACTCTAGACTGCAGGCAGTTTTGTCTGGGAACTTGGTGTGGAAAGTGAGTCCAGGAAGACAACTGATATGTTATATGGCAAGATGGAGGGTGGGGGGAGGGAGGTGGCGGGGAGCGCAGAACCCAGATGCTCGACTCCGGGATTCTGAGACCTTCATTGTCTCTTTCAACCTCTCAGGCTTATACCGATGACAACAGCCGGTCCTGTATCATCCTGCTTTCTTGGCCTGATAGGAAGCCTGGTTGTCTGGGTACTACGGTGTGAGTGCAGTCAGGGTGTGTGTGTGTGTGTGTGTGTGTGTGTGTGTGTGTGTGTGTATGGGGGGGGGTGTCGGGCAAGCACCTTAGCCAATGATTCTGTCCAAACTTGCATTGTTGAGTCCGTATCTCTGTCTCAAATTTGATGCTGTTTGCAGAATGGGTTTGTAATACATTATATATGTGTGCATACATACACATCATGTATACACACATACCCATGTGTGTCTACAGACACATATATACCGTTGTGTTTTAGACATAGAGAAGAGCATTTACAAATGCTATGCAACCTCTGGGGTGTGAGGGGGTGGGATATGTTGATTTAGGAGTTTCTCTTAGAAGGTCAGCTGTAAACTTAGTGAGCCAATGTAGAGCTGAGTAATGCCAATGCCACGTTTATGCCATGGAGAACAGACTTTGTGAGGAAGGAGGAATAAAATCCTGTTTATTAAGCCACCACCTGGTATTCCCACAGTGCTCCCTTCCTCTGTCCCTTAACAACATAAAGCTGACATTTCTATTGTCTTTCCCTGTCACAAGCTTATTTCTTCTGCAGTAACACAACTACTTCCTTTATGATGCTGTCAACTCATGCTCAACCAATGTAACTTAGAAACAATTTTTCCTCTGCGCCCTAGACTGTTGACTGCTATTAATAGAAGAGGCAGTCAGATAAAGTCTTACGGCTCTGGTCTATAAAACAAACAACAAATCCAAATTACTCTGGCTGTTTTGACTGCCACACAGCTATCTGCCTGATGCCCTTGGCTGGAGCTGGAATGTTCCGGCGTGCTCCTGCCATGGCACAATGAGATGATAGCCTGCCGCCATTAAACAGAGGTTCCCTGTGGCAAGAGCAAGGGTAGGACTGAGTAGGCCTGTGGCTTCCTTTTGGCTAAAGGAGGAAGTTCCAGGGGTTGGAAGCCTAATGATTATGGAACTGGTCCATGACTAGACCAGTAGTGTTTTTAGTCTATGCTGAGGCAGCAGGGTTTTCTGAGGACTAGACACTTTGGCATCCATGCTGTTTGTCATAAGAAAGTATAGTTTCCCAAGCTCTGTGGCCAAGGTTGATGGAAATTAAAAAGATGGCCATCTTGGCATCAAAATGTTCTTTCTGAAAGCTGACAGAATTTATACTGAAGTTAAAAAAAATATTTTTTGCCACATTCATGCCAGATAAACAGATTCAAAGTCTCCAGTCTGTGGTCCTGGATCCAGTTACCTCAGGATATTAGACAAACAGCATTATTTTTTGATGCTTGCTACATCCTAAGCAAGGGTTCTTAAGCCATGACTTCTGAGTTTATCTTCCTGGAAACCACACACTGGGCTATCTGGGTGTAGTGTTTCACATCTTCAATCTCAGTAGTCAGGAGGTTAAAGCAGGAAGATCTAGAGTTAAAGGCCAGCCTGGGCTACATGGTGAATTCAGGGCTAGTTTGGGCTACTCTAGCAAGAGTCTATCTGTGCCCTCCCTGACTTCAAAAAAGTAAATGAATAAATAAAAGAAATCATGATCTAGAGTTTACCAGATGCCCATCTAACAGCAGAATCTGGAGAGAAAAGACTTGGTGGAAGGGCTCAAGGACAGGGATACTGGAAAGGCTCAAGGCAGGGATGATGGAGGGGCTCAAGGCAGGGATGATGGAGGGGCTCAAGGACAGGGCTGACCAAGGGGCTCAATGTCAGGGATACTGGAAGGGCTCAAGGCGGGGATGATGGAGGGGCTCAAGGCGGGGATGATGGAGGGGCTCAAAGCAATGATTCTGGAAGTGTGATCCATTCTGAATGCTATGGTGAAATCTGGCACCATCCTGATCAACTCACTAGTTATCCTTTAGCCTAGAGTGCCAAGTGTTGAGATTAAAGGTGTGTGTCATCACACCTGGACTCTTAGTAGTACTATATTCAACACTATAAAACTAGCTAATGTTTGTTAATCTTGGAAGTGCTCAAGGATAGTGGCAGCCTTTCATGTCCCCAATCCTATGTTACTCTCACTCTAAATGGAATCAGCATGGCATTGTGTTCTGGGAAGGGACAAGTAAAGACAGTATAGATTGTTGTGTTGGGGGTCTTGGGTGGAATGTGGATCTAGATACTAGCCAGAATCTTCTAGAACTCTCTTCCATGTGTGCAAGCTCAGAAGATGCACGGAGCCCTTAATACCCAAAGCCCGAGGTCCTTTCTAGATGCTGAGGAGATAATCTTTGTGGACAAAGTCTAGTTTTCTGAGGAAGATGGATTGAGAGAATGGAAAAGAAGCAGCATTTATAGTAATCTGTGCCAGCAGTATCATGTGCAACCAAAAATTTGAAAAAAAAAAAAAAAAAAAAAAAAAAAGAGCCAATTGAGATCTAAATTCCACTGAAATACAACCCCAACCCCAAATTTACCCTTTCCCTTTCTCCTATCATGTATACACATATGCTTTCAGGTAGCTGCCCTTTCTTGGGGATGGAGCCCAGGGCCTTCTATATGGGAGGCGAACACTATCATTGTTCTGCATCTCCAACTCTTAATATTTTTTCTTTTTGAGAGGAGAGACAGGCATTTATTTTCCAGTATATAATTTTTATGTTTTCAATTTAAGTAAACAAATGATTTTGGTCTGTTGGTATCCTGGCATCTGGTTTTGGTATGATAGAGGCTCAAGGGAAAAGAATTTGCCCAGAGCCAGAGCAGGCTGTGTGTTTCCCACCTACGGGTAGGTTCCAGGGATCTGCAGAATCAGGGAAATATTACATTTCCACTTTCCACACGTCCCTCAGTCTCCTTCCGAGACACTCATTCCTGATCTCAAGGTCACTATTTTTTAACTCCCCTTGACAGCCCCAGAAAACTGGAAATGCTGGAATCACAGGGCCATTGCCCTGGTGGGGGTGGGTGGGTGAGGGAGTGACAGGGTGGAGGGTGGAGGTGGAGAGAGATCAGGGGGTGGGGGAGGGGACGACGAGGTTAACTGCAAAATCTATGGGCTATTTGTGGGTAAGACTGCAAGTATCATCATCTTGGGAGACAGAAGCATGGGAAGCAAAACTTTTGCCCACCCTATACTACTGCATTATGCTGTTATAGTCAACGTTCAGTCTTCTTGATAAGAGATAAGAATTGATAGATATCTAAATATCTCCCCCTCCACCTTTTGAGGCAGGGTCTCACTATGTAGCCCAGGTTGGTCTGGAACTTGTTATTGTAGCCCAGGATGGCCTCACCCACAGCAATGCCCTCGTCTCAGACTTCCAGAGTGCTGGGGTAATAAAAGGCACGCACTATTACTTGTAAGAGTCAAAGTCAGCCTATATGCCCCTCTTGTCTAAAGAAATTAACTTCCTGGAATGCTAGGAAAAAGGAAGCCACATGTTTTCACTCCCCTAAACGAGTGTGTTTGACCCATCTGCAATGGATGTGCTTGATCACGTGTGGGCAGGAGGTACATATGCAGGGAATATGTCAGGATGTATGCTTGCCCCTGATTGGACCTGACGGGAAACACAGTGAACTGTGGGTTTTGCCTTTTTAAGACCCTGCAAAAGGTGAATCAGGGTCACTACCAGAGTGGATCTGATCAGAGTCTATCCTGGTCTGGTTTTTCCCTCTTGAATCTCAGCACTAACACTTTCTACTGAAGACTGGAGTTAAGAGCCAAAGTGAAGTTATTCAGCTCCAATTCTCATCCCCCCTCTGTGTGATGCCAGCCAGACACCCCATCATCCAGGCCCTTGTTTATCTTCCTTCCTTTAATTAGTTTGGCATTTGGCTTGCCACCAGTATTTGGGATGGTTTGGGGCAGAGAAGAATTTTGAGAAGTAGAAATTACTTCCTGTATAAGTGGCACGGCCTCTCAGGACCTCCTAATCCTGTTTCCAGGGAGAAAAAGTCACTAATGAACATCTTTAGAATTAATTTTAATGGGTCTCTTCACCATCTCTAAGGTTGAGCATCCTTTTCTCAAGATGGTCACTGCAGGGGGCTGATTAGAAACACTGGGGCAGACAGAGGTAGTGTCATATCCTGTGTGCTATCAATTCATTAAACTTTCAACAGGACCTAAGAATGCTTCCAAGCTTATTAGTCAAGGTTTTTTTTTTTTTTCTCCTTCTTCTTCTGTTCCAGAGGCCACTCAAGTTTCAGAAGATCTGTGGGTCAATACAGCATGGCAATATCCTCTATTTGGGGGGGTTAAAAAGTGTAGCCAAAACCCAGCTGTATGAGTTTTAAATTCTTTTCAAGCATCTTCACTAAATGGATCAGTACATTTTAAAATATATATATATATGTATGTATATGTATATATATATATATATATATATTATTTTTTTTTTTTCCTGGTAATACAGTGTTTTCCTGATCTAGTAAGCAGAAGACAGTCAAATGGTTCTTAAATTTCAACAGGTAGTCACAGGGGAACAACGAAAGTTCATGATGGCAACATTATTTTTAAGCTACTATTCTTAACTTTTTTTTTTTTTTTTGAGACTCATTATCTTTAGCTCAGACTGGCCTTGAACTTGAGGTAATCTCAGGCTTATAAATGCTCAGATTAGAGGCATGAATCATGTTCATATTGAACTACTAAACTTTTTTGTTTGAGATAGGGTCTAACTAAGTAGTTTTGGTTGACCTGGAACTCTCTATGTAGACCAGGCTGCCTTTGAACTCACAGAAACCTACCTGCCTCTGCCTCCTAAGTTCTGGAATTAAAGGTATGCACCACTAAGCCTGGCAATTTTTTTCTTTTCTTTTCTTTTTTTTTTTTTTTGAGACAGGGTTTCTTTGTGTATCCCTGGCTGTCCCAGAACTCACTCTGTAGATCAGGCTGGCTTTGAATTTACAGAGATCTGCCTGCCTCTACCTCCCCAGTCCTGGGATTAAATGCATGCAACACCACTGTTCAGGCTCCTGGCAATTGTTTTTTTTTTTTTTTTTTTTTTTTTTTTTTTTAATTTGGTTGAACTATTGGTTTACAAAACGAGTTTCCAATGGTGTGGTAGGGTTAAAATACACATTAAAAAAAAAAAAAACAAAAAAAACTTAATTTTTGTTCTTAATCATTTACTTTTATGTGCATGGGTGTTTTGTCTGCAGATGTATCATGTGTGTTCCTGGTGCCCACAGATGTGTGGGGAGGATGATGGCTCCCATGGGACCGTAGTTACAGCTGAGTTGACCATTATATCCAAGAAAGATGTTAGGGGTCTGAGCACTCTGGAGGCTTCAAATCCCTCAAGGCTCCTAGAAGCCAAGGTTTGTAAGCTGCTCTGGGCATGGGGAACCACCTTACCTTACGAGTCAGCCTTCTCTTAATTTCACGCTTCTCCTCCTGCTCTTCTTGTTCATTCCGAGCTGAAAATATATGGAAGATGCTCCTGATTACCGTGCACAGTATCACCCACACCCAGGCGACCCTCTGAGCATTTGCAGGCTCTGGTCCAAGCCTTTGGGCCCCATTCCCTGGCTATGTTCGAAGGGACTTGTCTTCATCTTCCTGCATCCTTTTAAACTGGTGGGGAGTGAGTTGACTAAACTGGTTTTGCATTGTTCTTCTCTTTATGTCTGGGCTTGGGGTCCAGACAGGGATGCTGGGATGAGCCATGTGACTCTAAGCCAAGGAGGTGTATGGGAGAAGTGTGGGAACACTCCTGGCAGGGACAAGCATTTGGGGAGAGTCAGAATGCCTTCCTTGAGAAAGGTGTAAACCTCATGCCTCTTTGTGCCTCTGAGAGGCTGAAAGGGCTCATTGTGTGTGGTCCCAGTGACCAGAGCCCTGTAGGGCAAGAGAGAGGACATGCCTCCACCTGCTGCAAGAATGACATGGGACAGAGTCAGCAGCAACCTGAAAGGCCGCTCACAATGACTTTAGAGCTCTCGCCTTGTACAAGCCCTCATTCCAGTAATTCTTTAAGTCTCCCAGGAAGTTAACAGAACTTTTGTGAGGCCAGAGCGTGGAATAGAAGTGCTTGCATTTGGACAGGAAGCAGTGTCTTAAGAGCACACTCCAGAGACTAAATATTCCCATATTAATATATGGGCAACTGACTTGTCCGAGTTTTAATTGCCATAGTAAGAGTCTGGGGAAGGGAATAGGAAGAAGGGCATAAGACTTGGGCCTTTTCTTTGTCTGGACTAACAGAATGACTGTAAACAGACCGTCATTTACCTTCTGGGCCTTGGAAGGGTTCCTTGTTCTCTGTGGAAGCACATTTATCAACATGGTACCATCTGATTTGAAAAATACTATGAACACCAACTAGTGTCACAGAAGGCATGAGATCCTCAGCCATGGGCTTAGGAAAACATCAGCAAAGTAAACTATGGGTTGATTTGAGCAATGCCCATTAAGCTTGCACAGGATACCTACAGTCTCATTTTGTAATCATGGATGTCAAGTAATGTTTCTGCAATTTTATTGTTTTGTTATCATGGTCCATGGTTATAATATTGTTGTGGGTCCTAAAGGTTTCAGTATAGGGTATGTCTTTCAAAGAAATCCCAGTGCATAGAAAATGAGGTGGGGAGTGTGTAATTAATAGTCCTGCTTTCCCCTCTTACTCTAGGAAGTCAGCAAAACAGTTTAGCCAACTGTGACCAAAGGTGGGTGACAACTTTTTCTAGCAACAAATGGTGACAATTCAGAACAGGACTCAGAGCCCTGAGTGACACTCCCAGGGTATGATTTTGTGTTCCAACATGCTTGTGGGTCCTCCTGTGGAATGGGCCACGAGAACCCCCATGAATGACCCCTTCCTTTGGATTTAACAACCATATTTCCCAGTTTCTTTAAAAAACACACATTTCTCTTAGCCAAAAACCTGTAATAGCTACTACTATATTAGTATGAATTAACCTATCACAGAAATATTGGAAAACAGATAACAAGACCCAGGAGAAGGGAAACCTGAAGACTGACATTAAAAAAAAAATGTGATAAAATCTGGGAGAGTAGCCAGCTGTTAACATCTTAGTATACATCAATCTATCCAGACTCAGTTTGGAGGCAGACCCCAGACAGCTAGCTATACTTGCAGGGGGAAGGAAGGATAGAAGGAAGGTCGTCTTGCAGTCTGTCCTTGATATAGCTTGAGAGCTCCATGTTGAAATTTAGAGACCATATAGGCTACTGATCTGGGTTTCTAGATGAAGTCACAAAAGCCCCAGGGGGATGAAGCCACCAGCCACACCTGACACGGATCACCACTCAAACAGTTCAGACCTCTGCTTTTTCCTGCTGTCACAAGTTGCTTGAGGCTGGTCCTCCTTCTCATTCCTGGGCCTGACCCTCACTCCTGACCTACAGGCCCCTTGCAAGCCATGAGGATGGGTGTTCTGTACCAGAGATGACACAGTGCAGGGGCCTTCATCTCTTAAGTAGGTTCTTAGGCCCTCAGAGGTGCGGGTCATAAACTACTACCTATGCTGTCCATATCATTAGCTCAAAGCCATTTACAAACCCAGTGTCATGAATTCTCAGGCAGAGGATGCCAAGGCAATTCCACTAGGCAACTGAGAAAAGAGGCCACAAAAGTCTGGTGATGTCATCGTCATGGTGCCCACTCCCCAGAGTTCATTATGTGCTCAGATGTTCAGGGGGGCCTCATTGGCTACAGAACAAAGTGAGGGTTTGCTTACAAGCCTGGGCAGGGTGGGACTTCGGACCGAGTCCAGCTTCTGCGTCCCTACATCTCCCAGCGCCTCTCCCAGTTTAAAGCCCAGAAGATAAGTTTTAGAACTGATTATTTGGGGATGTTTTCAAATACCTCTTGACATTTATTATATAATAATTAAGTAGGTACGGGGTGTGGTGCCACATGCAATCCTAGTACTGGGGAGGGGGAGGAGGGGGATTCAAGGATTCAAAGTCATCCTCAGATATATATCACATTTAAGGCCAGCCTGGGTTACAGGAGACAAACAAAAACCAAAGCTAGAAGAGAAAAACATCCCTCCCCGCAATAAGAACAAGACCAACAACAACAACAACAAAAAAAGCTGATTAAATAATAAACAGAAGACACATTTAGAAAGACAAAGGACTAACACAGGGAAAGCAGGTCCATCTCTGAATCAAGAGGTAATCCGTTTGAATTTGGTTCAGTGGCGCCTGAGTTTGTAGCTATTTTATCAGGAAAACGTAGAAGGGATTTCAGGAAACACAGGAACACCTGCACAGATTTCCCTTTATTCTCCCTGAGTTGGTTAGACTGAGGGAAGCCACAGTAAAACAGAAAGCTATCAAACAGAGGAAAAAAAAAAAAAAAAGTGCAGGGCATCTAGCTGTGATGTTCTGGGATCCGGGCCAACCAGAGCCAGGGGTGGGGGTGGAGTGAGGTGGATATTCTCTGCCTGACACTCTCTGCTGCTTAAGGGCAAAGTATTACAGAAACCTCAGCAAGGGCCAGGGTGTGCAGTGTCTTAGTGCTCGTGTTTAAAAGCGCAGGACAGCTTCAGTGGTGGAGTGGAGGAAGCTCTTATCTGATTTCTGCTTTGAGGAATCAAGAGTTTCCTACTCTACTTTTCAGTTCTCAACAACAATGGAAACTTTATAATGGACCAGATGTCTGCATGGGCAAAAAGGAAACATCCTAAGGGCCAAGACTTGGCCGACTGTAGTGATCTCTGACAGTTCTATGCCATCTATTGTACAGCAGAATACATGTAGACACTTTGGTTTTGAGTCAGGGTCTTGCTATGTTGCCTAGGCCGACTAGAACTCAGTTTGCCAGCTGTACGGATAGTCTTTGAGTGCTGGGATTATGGGCATGTGCCACCATATTCCAGAAAACTTCGAAACTTTGAAGGACACCCACTGGTTTAAAGGTAAATTAGGGCTGCTGAGATGGTTCAGTGCCTAAAGATGCTTGCTACTGAGCCTGACAGCCCGAGTCTGATCCTCTGGACTCACTTGGTGGAGGGAGACAATGACTCCTCAAAGTTGTCCTCTGATCTCCACATGAATGCTATGGCATAGCCCCTCCCCACCAATCAATTACATGAATGTAAGAGAGAGAGAAAAAAAAATTCCACAGACAAACCACTAGACACCTTGCTGTTCTCTGTAAGGCTTACTCTAGACCCAGGAGAGGGTATAGAGAGACCAGCCTGCTCTGAGCTTGGGAAGGTAATGGTTGCCTTGGAGAAAGTGCAGGACCCTGAGACAGGCAAGCAGATGGGCACCTATAGAGACTGTCACAACCTTCCCAGGCAAAATGCAACACCCTCCCTCAGCAAATCACTGAGTGCTGGTCAGGTCGGGAGGAGGGGTAGAGAAGAGTAATTGGAAACAAAATTATTTAAATGGAAACAGCCAGTAACCTAGAGCAAAGTCTCATGTAATGTGTGTACACACACGTATCTATAAGACACTTCCTAATATCTAATTCTTTTTTTTTTTTTTCTGGAGAGAAATTAGAAGGGCTTTTGGGGGCTAGGGAAAAAGAATCACCTATTAAAGTAAACAAATTTGTTGGCTGTGTTGAGGAAACTGGGTAGGGACTGCAGCAAGGGTCTGGTGGGTGTGGTTTGATTTATAAAAATCACTGAATATCTATCTTCTGCTAAACTGAGGCATATTGGAATCTGTGGAAAGCCGCTTTCTTTCACTATTTTGTATTCTTTAATTGTCTTCGTACCAAGTGGATTCTCTGCACAAATTCAAATACACTCTGTGTCTTGAGCTGAACAAGGGGCCCATTTTTTCCCCTGTTCACAGCCAGCTTTCGGTGAATGAGAGCGTCATGCAAGCATGCCACTGGCTAGGCCAGTTTCTGGAGGACAGGATGAATGTTCACTCGGTACTGCTCTTTCCCATTGCAAAGCTGGTGCTCAGGGGGCAGAGTTCCATCAATAGCAGCCAATTGACTTCCAGTCCTCACACATTCAAATTTCCCTTACACTCACCATCAAAGCCCAAGTCACTGGTTTGAAGCCAGTTGGGTGTAAGTGGGACACCTTAAAGTCACCTCCTTCTGGTAAGTGCCTTTGTTTGATTTCAGCTTCTCTCAGCTTGGGGTGGGCTCTTGCTTCAGCGTGGGATTCCCTAACCCATAACCTAGAGGTCAGTGGCATAGATCGTCCCCAATATTGCAGAAGAAGCATCCTGGGTTTCCGTGAGGCTTCCTGCTGCGGAGGTTTCCCGCTCTCTCATGGGCCCCCAGGAAGGCTGCCCTGAGTGTCTGGTCACCCTGGGCTTAGTTAACTTACGTTTCAGAATGTTCCGCTGTTCCAGTTCCTCTGCAGTGGGTCTCTGGCTCAGCCGCCTACGAAAAAAATCCAGGAAAAGTTTTTGGACCATGTCATATCCTTCTGAGGTTGGTGACCTCCACGGCCCCAGCAGATACATCAGGCAGCGTCAGCAGCTGGAACCCTCTGTCCATCCTGTGCTCTGAGACACTGACTCGCTGCCTGTGCTTCCTCGGTTCCTCAATTTCAAGCCCAGGAAGGGCACCCTGCGTCAGGTCACGCAAAGCTGCCCTCCCTCCCTCTGGGGGCCCCTCCCAGGTCCTGCTCCTCCAGTGCCCCCAGGCCAGGAGACCGAAACTTAGCTGGGCCTTTCCTCTTCACAGAAGTCCCTTTCTTTCCTTGTAGCCTCTCTACTGCAGGGCTGTGTGGCCTCCTGCCTTTCTCTCTCTGCCTTCAGGCCAGAGCTTGCTTCTTGCTACCTTTGCGCACACCCAGGACACAGAGGCTTGTGGCCTGGAGGACATGCAAGCGAGGGTGTCTGTCCGCAGAGAACAATGGCTACTCTTCTTCCTGTCTCCTCCCATCTCCACCAGAGCCTTATTAGACATAGAATGCCAGATGAGCAGGCACAGAAATGACTCCTATTACCGGGTGCATAATTAAGTCATAGAGAATGCGGCATCATGGCAGGGGCAGGGACATCTCATGGGGCTGTGTGGAGGAGGGGGGACAAGCACTGGTGACAGGTAGTGACAGAAGTTCCTAGAGACCCACATACTTAGACACCTGCATGAAGTTCTGGGGCCAGGGGGCCGGGTAGGTATCACACACAGTGGACCCGATTGGGAGCAGGGACATGCTTTGCAAACTTCTGACAGTCATTGAACAACCCTGCAGTTATTCGGCCTCACCCACTAGGTATTCATATGGAGTGTTCAAGATGAGCATTGTGGAAGGGATTCGAGGCTCCTCAAGAGTCTTCTGCTGGGACATAATGGGTAACAATGCACACGAACAGTTGTGGTCAAATTTCTGAAACTGAGGTCTGTAGTTGGAGAGATGTTGACAGCATGGAGTCTTAAGAGAGACCCAGAATGTAAGAAAGTTGTCAGGATCAAGAGGGATTTGCTTTGGATCTTGCCCTAGGAACAAGTCAACCAATTAAATAAATCAAGCCAGATGCTATGGAGACTGCAAAATTCACAACCTCATAAAAAGGTACCACAGATATCTATAAGGATATCTTCCCATCCGTGTATTCAGTGTCAACCAGACAACCTTGCTATTTATTCTTGCATGAGCTAAAACTTCTTATTTTAAAATCTAGTGAGCGTTCTTCATTTGCCTTTATGATCTTTCTCCAGCCTTCACTTCCTTGAATACCATACTTTACCATGGGACCTATGTTTTCACAGAAAATGTTGTTATTCCCAAATAAGTCACATTATTGTTTGGTGACTCAGATTGTTTATTTAGGCTGACAAGTGCAATATAGGATCTGTGGAGCCTCCAAATATAATTATTTCAAACTCAAGTCTTATTATTTGTGAGCCTGACAGTATCTTGAAACTGTTGGAGACTATATTCCAAAATATTTTCACATTCCTTATTTCTTTTTCTCTGTAACATACTATGAAGGAGATATGGGTCTTTGATCTTATTTCTTATTAAGGAGTTCCTGAATCCCTGGGACTTCCTATCATAGAGTACCTGAATTCTTTGGAACTTCGATATTCCAAATGAGTTCCTTCAGATCACATCGGAATTTATGCTAATGACACAAGCTAGTGTGGAACCCCTAGGTAGCCTCTGGAGGGGACTGGCCACTAGAAAGACCATATTGGAGAGTTGAAGTTCATGAAAACTTAACAATGAGATCCAATGTATAACACGAATAATAAAAACCCAGAGACAGATAAAAGATATTGGGGTTCAAGCAGAGGGTCAGACAAGCAAAACAGATAAGCCACTAGCTCTTACTTCTACCTCAGATTGAAAGAGTGATCTGGCTAGCTCCACAAATCCTCAGACTGCAATCCTAGACTGCTGCTTCCCTTCATTGTGGCTGGAGAATAAATCTTCCATGAGACCCTTTGCTTCTTCCTTTTATACTTCCCTAGTGCTGGGATTAAAGGTGTGTGATCCCACCTGCTGAGATCTCCTTCCTGTGAGCTGTTTCTCTTTAGGACTGGACCAATTTTGAATAGCTCAGTGTGGCCTTGAACTAAGAGATTCATCTGCCTGTCTCCTGAGTCCTGGGATTAAAGGTGTATTTCACCATTGCCTGACATCTATGGCTTATGGCTAGCCTTGCTTTCCGAACCCTCAGGCAAGCTTTAATAGATCGTAAATAATACATCACCACACCAATGAGCTTCTAGGTTGCTGGACTCCTGAAGGAGCCTTCTAATCCTTTCCCCTACCCATCTCTCCATCTAGCTGTTCATCCATATTCCATTTTTCTTTTCACTACAAAGTGATCAATATAAGTATGGTGTTTGAGTTTTGTACACCACTCTAGCAATTTAATAAAAAACACACACTAAATAAGTAGAATGCAATAAAAAGATTGCTTATATAGACAATATTTTCCAAGACTTGCCTCAAATAAGGTTAAAAACAGTAGATGCACTGCAGTTACTTAGGGCCAAAGTACTCGGGACCATTGTGTTCAATGCTGCCAGCACTCCTCTCTCACCCCTAAACCAGAGCAATGCTCCCCAGAAAGCCCCCTTACAGTTTCAGTTACAGATAGGAAATTCTTAAACAGATATAAATAAACAAGTTCATATTTTTATGCTTAGTTTTTAAACTGTGCTTCATCTTTTGATTGGCTGTAAAGTCTGTTCTTTTCTGAAACCCACAGGATCATGTATACAGTCCTTGGAGACGCCTCTTAATTTCTCTCTCCCTCGCTATCCATTGCTCTCCCTACCCTGTTGCTCTCTCCATACATAGGCAGACACACACACAGAGACACACACACAGACACACACACAGACACACACACACTCAGGAGAATGCACACTTAAATCTAACATGTGTGGTCTCTAATATCTACTTAACAAACCATTGACTTTGCTGTACCCTGGCTCATCCTGAAATTTTTTCCTGTATGTTCAAGAACCAGTTTCATGGAGTGGAGGCCCCCGAGGAGGAACCCCTCTGGCTTTGGACTGAATTACTCCAACACCCCTGACAGATATGAGTCACACACTGGGAGAAACCCATAGCAGTAACAGTAGTAGCACTTTTCCCCTTTATTTCCCTCTCTGCTTCCTGATTCCTACAACATCACCCTCGAATGTCTGACTCTTGTCAAGACTGGTTCTCAGAAGTGGGTGCTGTGTATATAGATGGGATGGTTAATGCTCATTGTCAGTTTATCAGGATCTAGAGTTGCCTAGGAGACCAGCTCTGGGTATGCCCATTGAAGGGTTATGTAGATTAGATTAGCCTCTGGGTATGCTTGTGAAGGATTAGCTGGATTAGTTAATTAGGTTGATTGATAAGAAGATCCACTTTAACTGTGGGTGATACCATGCCCTGGGCTGGGATCTTGGACTAAATAAAAGGAGAAAGTGACCTGAGCAAGCAGTTCCTATTTCCTAACCACAGAAGCAATGTGACCAGCTCCCTCAAACTCCTGCTACTATGAATTAATTCCCTGCCATGATAGGCTGTGCTTCAAAGCCAAGATAAGCCCTCATTCCCTCAAGTAATTTTGTCAGGAGGGATAAACCAAGGCTCCCAGCAAATAGTAGAGGCTGAGATAGGTCTAAACTTGACATACACTACTCTCCTGTGCATATCTATTATATAGCTCAATGCATGCATTAACCCTAAGAAATGAACAGTAAGTACTAATAGAGCAATTGCAACAATGCAAAAGAATGAATGTTAAGTGAATACAACCTTTCTCTCCCCCAAATGCTTCATGTGACTGTACAGGGTGGCTTGAGGCTGACTTTGGGTATAGAAACCATGTAAAGTCAAACCATGAATGAAAGGGATTATTAAGCCCAATGGGTAAGAACTCCAAGATTCCTTCTGAATGCACTGTATTTTCTTTAACTGGTAGATGTAACTAATTGTATCTGATTTAAAGTCATATTAAATTTAAAAAAACAACAACAAGCCCTCCTATCTATATCTGGATATTTACATTAGGTGGCAAGGGAAATCTTCAGAGCTAAACCTTCACAGGAAGTGAATTATGCAAAATTAAACACTTAATATTTTTCAAGTGATCTTAAATAGCTTTGCTATTTTCATACATGTGACCCTGGTTTAGAAAATACCTCTGAGTTGCAAAACTGTTTCCACAAGTCAGGATTTCTTTATGAGCCATGGCTAAACGATTCACATTGACTGGGAACTGAAAAACCACTGGCTTCCTGCTTATATGCCTTCATGCCATCAGATGCCAGTAGTGGGCTATTTTCTTTCAAAAAAAATTTTTTTAAAATGATATATTGCCTCTCTAAGATTTTTCTTTATTTTTATTTTATATGAATTGGTGTTTTGCCAGCATGTATGTCTGTGAGAGAGTGTCAGATCTTGGAGTTACAGACAGTTGTGAGCTGCCTTGTGGGTGCTGGGAATTGAGCTTGGGTTCTAGAAGAGCAGTCAGTGCTCTTAACTACTGAGCCATGTCTCTCTCCAGCCCCTTCTTTCAAAATTTAAAGTCTGAAGACGATATCAATGAAAGGCCATAAGGAAAATAATTGAATTAATGTAAGTTTTCCTGTTGTTGAGAAAAGACTGCACCAATAAAATGAACCCAACCTCCCTGCCCCCCAATGAAAATCCCAAATGACTGACAGGAAGATGCTTTAAATCTATGTAGAGCAGGGAAGACCATTTTTTTTTTTTTTTTTTTTTTTTTTTAAAGCTGTAGTCTCTCCCCTGGGAAGTGACAAACCCTTGTCTGTTTCACTGTTTTGACTTCAAGAAGATCAGTTCTGAAGCATAGAGCTCATGAGTGTTCTTTTCCAGCAGGACATGAAGGTCACAGCTTTCACCAGCTGCTTACTGTTGGGAGAGCCCTGGTACCCAGGTCTGGATGCAGGAAGCC